ATATATATATATATAAAACCAGAAGCTATATACACACAGTAGACTGTGCGTTAATGTAACGCAGAAATCCTGAATGGGGGAGAGAAACATTGTCCAGTGTCACGGGCGGCTCTTGGCCTTGTTGATAAGGCCGGTAGCAGATGGGAAAAAACAGTTTTTGTGACGGGAGGTTCTGGTCCTGATAGACCGCAGCCTCCTGCCAGAGGGAAGTGATTGAAATAGTCTGTGACTGGGATGCGAGGGATCAGCCACAATCTTCCCTGCATGCCTCAGAGTCCTGGAGGCCTGCAGCTCCTGGAGAGATGGGAGGTTGCAGCCAATCACCTTCTCTGCAGACCGGATGACACGCTGCAGTCTGCTCTTGTCCTTAGCGGTGGCACCAGCGTACCAGATGGTGATGGAGGAAGTGAGGATGGACTCAATGATGGAGGAGTATAACTGCACCATCATTGTCCTGGGCAGGTTGGCTGCCGCAGGAAGTACATCTTCTGCTGGGCTTTTTTGGTGAGGGAGTCGATGTTCCTAGTTCCCAGGAAGCGGAAAGACTCCACAGTGTCAATGGTGGAGTCACAGAGGGTGATGGGGGTAGCTGGGGCTGCGCTCTTTCTGAAGTCCACAACCAACTCCACTGTTTTTAGAGCGTTGAGCTCCAGGTTGTTCTCCCTGCACCAGGTCACCAGTTGGTCAGCCTCCCACCTGTAGGCGGACTCGTCACCATCGGAGATCAGCCCGATGAGAGTGGTGTCGTCCGCGAACTTCAGGAGCTTGATAGACTGATGACTGGAGAAGCAGCTGTTGGTGTACAGGGAGATGGGAGTATAGCCCCATTTACACTAATATCAATTCAATTTATTTCTATAGCACCAATTCACAACGCACGTCATCTCAAGGCACTTTACAGTTCACCAGATCATCCAGTCAAATTGATTCAAAGTTTTCTATCAAAGGAAAATCAGTTGATTGCATCGACTCATTGGCTCGAAGGCAATCCCTCACACCAAGCATGCTTGTAGAGACAGTGGAGAGGAAAAACTCCTTATTAACAGAAAGAAACCTCCAGCAGAACCAGACTCGGTGTGAGCGGCCATCTGCAGAGGCCAACTACCATTTTGAAACAATGCTGGGAACGGTCTGAGACGGGTAACCAAGATAAATGTTGAGTGTAAATGGAACGCAACTGAAGTGGACGATGCCAGGCATAACTGAACAGCACCAAATCTCGTACTAGTTCAACAGTATGGCTCGGCACTGTTCAGTTGTGGCTCAGTTCTCTGATAACGAGCGCATGAGCAGACCACATCATCGCCTATTTACAGCTGACTCATTTTGCGGGTTTTCCAGCGTCTCCGGCTTTGTAATTGACAGATCTCTTCACCTGTTCACAACACAAACTTCTTCTCAGCCTATTAACAATAAATGAGATTAAAATGAGCACATTGCAGCCCGGGAACATGATCATATTGAAATTTGGGCAGGCATATAAGTTCCTGAATGTTATGGACACCTCCATTTTTTGTTTGCATAATCCCCCCCTTGACAGCTGTGGTATCATAGAACGCTGATAGGAGGCAA